GTTTAAATTGTTTTATTAAGTTTACTATTTTAATAGGGGGCACATCATAAAGTTGCGGTTGTACGATACTCAGCATACACGTATTGTGCAGATTGCTCGAGCYATAAAAAATAATTCTATATTTTATGCATCTCGGGTTAAACTTATTCATTTAAATTCAAGTATGTTATATATTATTTAATAATTTATGTTTTCATTCTTTTTTAAATATTATATTAACTTTACTAAATTTATATTTTCTAATATTTTCAGTGAATATATTGAGTTCTACGGCGTTAACCAAAATTGTGATCGATCCAGATATGCCGGAAGCCCACAACATAAAATTTATGCTGAGTTAAAAATTTGTCACCAAGTTGGTTAGGGTTGAGTGTTTTGTGTGATTGTTTTGGAGATAAAAACATGTGCAACTTTTATGTTATTTTGTATTGGTTGAGTGATATTTTGAACWTTGATTTGTATTCAGTGATTGTTTTGAATATTTTGATCATGAATTTCTAATGTTTTCAGTGAATGTTTTTTGTGATTCTTGTGGAAATAAAATCATGTGTAACTTTTATATTATTTTATATTGGTTGAATGATTTTTCAACATTGATTTGGTTTCGGTGAATGTTTTTTGAATGTTTTCTAAATAAGTGATGCGCAACAATATTTATTTATTCTATGTAGTTAAGGTGCATAATGAGGATTGTCGATGAAGGAACCGCAAAAGGTATGTGAAATATATAATAAGAAATCATTTTAATTTGATGTACTTACTCTATATATATTTAAATATTTAAAAATAAAATTTAATACAATAGACTTTATTATGCAGAACAAAAAGAGATGAAGAAAAAAAGAAAAATTGCGTTTGGTGAAGGAAGTAGTCAATTAATGTCAAACATGAGAGATATTTCTCGAATTGAGATAACACAAGAGAATATCAATGAAACAACTCCTGCCAGTACACTAACTTTTGCACAAAGGAGAAGAATTATTAATCGAAACTATTATCAACGAAGCAAGGAAAACGTCAACRGTACATACCTCCCGATTATACACATTTTAGAAACTTTTGTTTTCATATAAACTTTAGACTTATTTACATGTTTTTTCTTTCGTAGGCATTATAAATAAGCGTGGAAGATTGCTACCTCTTTTTGACGAAGTTGTTAATCAAGAATCGATGGGTTAGTATTTCTTTTCGAACTYGATCTTTTTGAACTCRACTTTCGTAGTTCTTTATAATAATAATATTTATTTGTCGTATCCAAATATCTTACATAGCGCTAGGGGAAGAAAGTGGTCAATCTATGACACACATGATAAATATCGCCCTACTAGAGACAACGCAAGTGAATATCAATGAAACAACTCCTGTCAGTGCGTTAACTTTTTCTCAAAGGAGAAAAATTATTAATCGAAACTATTATCAATGAAAAAAGGAAAATGTTGCTAATAGTGAAGGAACAAGCCAGGCATGTTCAGTGTTGAGATATGAAAATGTCAACGGTAAAAACCATACATTTATTATTATTTTAGAATCTTTGCAACTTTGCCCAAAACTAGAGGCTCATTGAGATGAAGTTTTCTTTCTTAGGCGTTCAAAATGACCGTGGAATACTGCTACCTCTTTTTGACGAAGTCGTGAATCAAGAATCGACAAGTTAGTATTTATTTTGAACTCTATGTTTTTTAATTCGATACGAAGTGATAATTTTATGATAATCTTCACTTTTCATATTCAAATTTCTTAAATAGCGCCTGGTGAAACAACTCATGTCAATGCACAAACATCTGCTCAAAAGAGAAGAATTACTAACCAAAACTATTATCAACGAAACAAGGAAAATAATAAAAATGGTGAGATCCAACAGGAGGATCCATACAATTTTGTTTATGATGGTGTCCCTAAACAACATCGTGTGCTGAAGGAACAAAATGCATGTGAACATTGTGGAGCAAAGTGGTTCGAATTTGAATTCCCTTTCTTTTGTTGCATGAGTGGGAAGACAAAGTTGGCATACTCACCCATTCTAGAAGAACTATACAATTTATTTATAATGCAATCAGAGTTAGGCGAAATGTTTAGGCACAATATTCGTGCATACAACACAAACTTTTTCTTCACGTCAATGGGGGTAACTTTGGATAGTACAGTGAGCAATATGACATCTGGAGTATATACTTTTCGTGCTCAAGGGGGAATATATCATAGAATCGATCATTTAGTTCCTAGGGATGGACCACCTCGGTACTTACAACTTTATTTTTATGATGCCGAATCTGAGCTGCAGCATAAACTACAATGGCCAAATCTTGATAGAAACGTCATTGAAATGTTGACTCGTGTTCTTTCTATAAACCCATACGTGAGAACATTTCGAAGCCTTACCGAGCTAGGACCACTCGACAATTATAGAGTCACTTTGAATGCTTCTGTGGAACTTGACTAGAGGGTGTACAACCGACCGACCACATATGAGGTTGAAATACAAGTACTTATTTTATCTCATTTACAATAAAATGTATCATATGCATGGTATTGAAGCAAATTCTAATATTCTACAGGTTGCTGGTATTTGGGTGGAAGGCAATGACAACATCATGACATACAAAAGAAGTATTGTTGTGTATGGGAGGTCTGACTACAGTAGAAAATTTGAACATCACTATGGTTGCTATGATCCTTTGTCTTATCCTTTGTTTTTTCCCAACGGTGAGTCTGGATGGCATGGTAGAATACCCGGACATGGAGTGTGCATCGATGAAATTGTTAATGACAACGAAATCTTCGACGAAGATCATGAAGGTATGAACATTGTCACATATATTTATTACCTTATTCACTCATTTAGAGGATCTATATGATTCAAATTCGATACTATGCAGAGGTTAGCTCAGGAAGGGGTAGGAAAACTGTAACAATGCGAGATTATTATTGTTACAAGTTCCAGATTCGGTCGAGTAATAACGTTATTCTATTAGGCGGGAGATTATTTCAACAGTTCGTGGTAGATATGTACATCAAGATAGAGACTACACGTTTTCTTTTATTGAAAGGAATCAAACGAAGATAAGATCAGACTTATACCAAGGTGTTGTGGATTGCGTCAATGCCGGTGASGTTCAACCAAGTAGAATTGGACAACGGGTTGTGCTTCCTGCAAGTTTTATCGGAGGCCCACGTGATATGCGAAGAAGATTTATGGATGTTATGACTTTAGTTCAAGATGACGGGAAGCCGATATATTCCTTACCATGACGTGTAATCCAAAGTGGCCTGAAATCCTTAAAGAGTTATTGCCTGGTCAAACCGCGCAAGATAGGTCGGACCTTGTTGCAAGAGTTTTCTGTGCCAAATTAGAGGATCTTAAAAATCAACTCTTCAAGAAGCACATTCTCGGCGAGGTTGGGGCATATRTTTATGTCATCGAGTTTCAAAAACGTGGTTTGCCACATGCACATATCCTCATGATAATGAAATCGGAACACAAGATTACAAACCCAGACCATTACGACAAGATAGTTTGTGCTGAAATCCCGGACCCGACAAAGTATCCTGAAATGCACGAGCTGGTGATAAAGCATATGATGCATGGTCCTTGTGGCCATTTACGACCGTCTAGCCCTTGTATGGAAGGTGAGCCGAGAAAATTTCGTTTTAGAAATCCTCAACAATTCAACGACAAGACGGTGCAGACAGATAACTCATATCCGATGTATCGGAAGAGAGACAATGGAATAAAGGTGAACGTCCAGGGAAATATCCTTGATAATAGATGAGTGGTCCCATATAATCCAAAGTTGCTAATGATGTTCTTCTGTCACATCAATGTTGAGGTTTGCTCAAGTATAATATCTGTGAAATATGTGTTCAAGTATGTTTACAAGGGTCATGACAAACAGGTTATTCATGTTGATCCTGATAGAGAAGAGGTCATTGTCAACGAGATAAAGAGATTTCAAGATGCACGATATGTTTCGCCACCTGAGGCAATATGGAGGATTTTTAGCTTTTCACTTTCTCAAATCCACCCTTGTGTGATGGCTTTGCAGGTCCATCTTCCTAATAAGCATCTGGTTAGGTTCAGAGAGAATGATATAATGACAGATATCGTTGATAGAGAGAGAGAGACAAGAGCTTAATGTTGACCGCATTTTTTGAGAGGAATAGAACAGATATGAGTGCGAGACAATATTTATACAAAGATTTTCCAAAACATTACACATGGAATGCCAGTTCACGTAAATGGAATCCTCGAAAACAAGGATCAATGAGAGGACGACTGGTTCACGCTAATCCTGCCGAAGGAGAACTATATTATCTACGCCTACTTCTGTCTCATATTAGTGGGCCCACGTGCTTTGAAGATCTTTACACAGTTAATGGCGTAATACATCCAACATTTCGTAAAGCAGCACTTGAGAGAGGTTTAATAGAGACCGACGATAATTTATCGCATTGTCTTGCTGATGCCTCCTTATTTTAGTTTCCCAATGCTCTTACACGATTATTCGCGACGATCTTGATTTATTGTTAGTCGGGAGATGTTCGCAAGTTATGGGATGAACATTATGATTCACTCTCTGAATATTATAGACGAGACTATGAAAATGTTGAGGGAGTCCGAAATATGGTTCTTACAGACATCGCAGTCTTTTTGCAATCTATGGGTAAAAACCTTGATGATTTTGATCTGCCAAGTTTAAATGCAGCTGTCAATTTAGAATCACGAGGATTTTGTGAGGTACAAGAGGAGTACTCCATAATTGCGCAAGACGAAGACTTAAATGCTCGAAACTCTCTAAATTCCGACCAGAAACATGCATTTGATGAGATCATGAGGCATGTAGATAATGATTGTCCAGCTGTGTTTTTTGTAGATGGACTGGGTGGAACTGGAAAAACATTTTTGTATAGAGCTTTGCTAGCTAATGTTCGTTCCCGTGGACTTATTGCTCTCGCAACCGCTTCATCCGGCGCTGCCGCTAATAACATGCCAGGGAGGAGAACAGCTCACTCTCAATTCAAGATTCCTCTTACTTTTAATAATAATTCGATGTGCAATATAAAAAAACAAAGCGAAAGTGCTCAACTACTTCGAGTCGCAAAAATAATCATCTGGGATGAAGCATCAATGGCAAAGAGGCAGGCAGTAGAGGCACTCGATAGAACAATGCAAGACATCACTAGAGTGAGACTTCCTTTTGGTGGGAAAATAATGAGAGAATTCTGGAAATTCCAGAATAGAATTTGGGTACCATGCTATGGTGATCTCAGAAAACGTATTTTGGGTGAGGCTCATAAGTCATGTTTTGCAATTCATCCAGGTACAAATAAAATGTATCGGAATTTGAAGCAACACTACTGGTGGCCAGGTATGAAGAAGAATATAGCTAAGCATGTTGAGCAATGCTTAACATGTCTTCAAATAAAAATTGAACACCAACGCCCTTACGGTAGGTTGCAATCTTTAGAAGTTCCAGTGTGGAAGTGAGATCACATCACTATGGATTTCATAACCAAATTGCCGAAAACATCAAAAAGTTATGATGCTATATGGGTGATAGTAGATCAGTTATCCAAATCTGCTCATTTCTTACCTATGAAAGAGTCATATTCAATGGAGAGATTGGCAAAACTATACATTGATGAGGTAGTGACACGACATGATGTTCTTCTGTCAATTATTTCTGATAGAGATAGTCGGTTCACTTCCATGTTTTGGAAGAGTTTCCAAAGAGAAATGGGTTCCCAGATTAAGTTAAGTACAACTTATCACCCTCAGACTGATGGACAAAGTGAACGAACTACCCAAACTTTAGAAGAAATGCTAAGAGCATGTGTCATTGATTTTGGAGGGTCATGGGTTAGTCATTTGGCTCTGGTGGAATTTGCATACAACAATAGTTACCATTCAAGTATTCAGGCAGCACCTTTCGAGGTTCTGTATGGGCGAAAATGTCGAACTACATTGTGTTGGAATGAAATAGGTGAAAAACAGTTGGCTGGGCCTGAGTTAGTTCAGCAAACTGCAGATAAAATTGGAGTAATACGGGAACGAATGAAAGCGGCACAAGATAGACAAAGAAGTTATGCAGATAAACGTCGGAAGCCGATTGAGTTTCAAGTGGGTGATTAAGTGATGTTAAAAGTATCACCTTGGAAAGGAATGGTACGTTTTGGAAAAAGAGGGAAGTTAAGTCTAAGATATGTTGGACCATTCCCTATTATTGGAAGAGTTGGGGAAGTGGCTTATAAGTTAGAACTTCCTTTAGAGCTAAGTGGAATCCATGACACATTTCATGTGTTGAATTTAAGGAAGTGTCTAATAAATCCAGATGTGGCAGTGCCACTACCTGAAATAAAGGTGGATGAAAAGTTATGCCTTGAAAAAACCCCTGAACAAATTACTGACTACAAGATGAAGAAACTACGAAAAAAAGAGATTGGATTTGTAAAGTTTCAGTGGCGTTATCATAAGGGACCAGACGCCACTTGAGAATTAGAATCAGAGATACGGATGAAGTATCCCTATCTTTTTGCTTAAATAGAATTCCGGGACGGAATTCTTTTAAGGAATGAATGTTGTAATATTCAGGTTTTGAGTTATGAGTTAAGATTTTTGGATTTTATATATATATATATATATATATAT